GGTACTGTGTATGTATTAACCGGATCATGCATTATGATTAATAGCACGCTAAGGTTGTACCTGTTATGGAATTGTCAGAATTTAATGTCAAATTAATTCACGCAATTTTGTGTTTTAGGTTTAGAACAAAATATTAACAAAAATATTACATCTAAAATGAATTTTATATACCTACTTAGTGGTTAAGTATCACAAAGAGAAAATGAAAATGTTGTTAATACTCAAGTAATATTACTAATGCATTTCGGAGTTAAATTTGTTATTTATGAAGTGATAAGCGATAGCAGCACAATTGTCGGCCGTATGTCCATTTGCGTCTAAATGTGCGTCGATGGTCGTTTGGAAAATGAATCTAATTTATTTACCAGAGACATTATCTCGTCGATAACATCCGACGACCTTCGAGTCCGGTCGCTCTTAACGTTCGGTTACGCGCTTTGCGCAAATTATATAATAGCGCGAGACGGGGGCCGTTTTTATTTGCTGAGCAGTCCGCAGCTGGCAACCGGGTGCAGTGTGCGTCGCCGTAAAACGGCTGTACCGCTCTTTTGTTGATCTCTTGCAGTACTCCCGCCAAGATGGTCAGCTATTGCATTTAAGTCTGGGGACAGTGGTGCTGCCAGTGGACGCAGGATCGCAAAGTAAGTAACAAAACATGAAATAGATGTAATTTGGTATAAATAAAGTAAAATTACAAAACTACCTGTAAAATATTATGGTTCCAAAAGATATTTTACATTCTGGAATAGATTACATGTAGGTATTTACATTTTAACCAATTTAATTAATGCAAATGTGAGTTTGTTTGTTTGTTTCTCTTTTACGCAAAGATTATTTAACAGATTTGGATAAAACTTTACAATTTTATATCTTATTCATCAAAATAAATGATAGGTTACATTTTGTTGTAGAAATCAAGCTTGAAGAAAGTAAAATTAAAGATAAAAGTTCTGATAGATATTCTATTATAGTTATAGTAATAAAATTTTAACTCTAGGGTGGTTTAAAGTGCATTTTAAAGTACTGTTACGTTTTAAAACCAAAATTAAAAATATTATTGACAGATTCAGCAGATAATAGTTCCAAGAAATAAAGAAATAGCTAATTAGTCACTACAATTTACCTAAACAAAGTTCTAAGCAAAAAGCTAGTATTAAATCTTATAATTAAAACTGCAAAAGTAAATATTTATCTTTCACAAGCTGCCGGCCAAAATGATCATTAAGTATTACCTCAATAAAGTCAAAAACAAAAACATCTTTAACTGAATTTTACCTTATACAGGAAATGCGAGCAATTGGCCGCTAGATGCAGAAAAGATAAAATAGGTCCGCTTCCCGGTTTTCGTCCTGGGTTTCCGGCCATTGTCCGGTAGTAGGCGGCCGCGAAGATTCCAACGTCTACATCCGCACGGAAGATCAAAAGCCGCCAGTGAGAGATCAGTACTGGAAGCCCAACACGTTCAATTACCAAATACCACCACCGGAAACGGAACTCCCTCAGTAAACTGAAGAAACTCTCAATGAAGATCCCAACGTACAATGCAAATCATTGTTCAAATGCCCTTTGATTCGGCTCAACAAATCGTGATTCCTTACTTGATTACTGATACTGTGTCCCCGGATAAGGATGTTGACGTAAAAGTCCTCACACAAAACAAACATGAAATAGATCCCGATGACGTCTCGCAAAGGTCACCGATTAAAAACAAGAGCTTTTCAAAGGACGTTTAACTTGATTGCCATTGGCGCAACAATAGAGATACTAACATTTGTTTTGTTTTTGTTTTATTTGAACACAATCACGAAGGACGTTGCTGTTGGTGATATGGTGGAGCTCTGCCCTGCACCCCCTAATGGCTTTCAGCTGCATCGAGTTGGCGAAGCGTTCCACCTGCCTTTCCGCGCCGAGAGGCAGTTGCTTCAGGTCGCAGTAGACCGTAAGTACCGCCTGCTTCCCTGAGCTGCTGAAGTGGAATCATGCTTACCGTTACTGTTCGTCATAGCAGGACAAAGGATATTGCTGCCAAGGTAAGCAAACATGCTAACCTTATATCTCCATTAGAAGTAATAATTGTGTATTTTGGCGCCAGTGTCGCAAAGCGGACATTTTGGTAGTCGCCATTATCAACCGGAGTTTGTCATGTTAATGGGTTAAACCAGGCGCAGTCGCCGGGCTGATTGTGGCATTACGTTATTCCAGGTATATAAACATTTATCAGTACTTGACATAACCTAATAAAACCAGGATAACCTTTGATAACCTAAGTTTATTGCTGTAATTTTGTGGATGCTGGCCAAAAAATCCGACAAAGGCTGGTTGGCGATGTGGCTTTATGCCGAGGCAGCGAAAAATGCTTCTTATATCACCTGTGCGTACCGGGTGGTTGGTCCTGCATGACAGTCGCCATGTTAATGAAGAATATTTGCGTTATCCAGCTGAACGCGCTTTGCAAAAAACTTCAGGAAAATAAGCGGAATGTTCGCCCTTTTTTAGATCTGAAGCCAAGCAAAGACCAGTTCCTAGGTATAATTTAATGAGATATTATTGTGAATTTTAATGTTTATTAAATGTTTTTGTTTGCCGTAGTGATATTGCAATCGCTAGAAGTCAAGGTGAACCAAAAAGCATTTACCAGTCAATTAATATAAAATTGGTATCTACAAGAGCGGAATTGTCGCAGTATGGCAAATGTAAGAAAGCTAAGGTCTCGTTAAGCATCATCGATAGGTTAAGCAAAACGTCAAACTGGGAAGTACATGTCGTTAAGCGGGGTAAGTAACCTAAAAGTATAATTTGTTAAAAACTAAAAGTTTGGTTATGTTTTCTTTAGAATTACCCTACACTTCGGCGAAGGCAAATCCACAAATATCTTCTTTAGGTCTTCACTCAAGCCTCTGCGCGCACAAACATGGAAAACACATTTGTTCGCCTCCGTCAACCCTCGCAAGGACCCACTTTTGGTATCAGCTGCGGCGCCGTGCAGGCGGTGGCTATTCCTAGTTATACCTATGGACGATTTCAACCTTCATCTCACCGAGACATCCACGCTGTCTCAGCTGCGAATAATTTACTCGCTGCACAAATGACGCACGTATCTTCCATGAAGCCACAAACTGATGAAGTTTCCTTACAACCGCTCATACCGGCGATAAAAGGTGTCCGCAAATTCCTCAAACATTCAAATTCGTCGTCTGAGCGTCTGGGTATCACTAAACGTGATCCCGATAGCGTCTAACACCTGAAGAAGAATTAGAAATTCTCCTACCGCTTGCAAACATTGATACTTCAATCAAAATCGTCTGGAAACGTGTTATTGACTTGAATGACAGGTACCCAGACAGGTCACCATTGGTCAAAGTCCCACAGAGAAGGGAATATCCAGAGAAACATCTTTATTTCTGTAGCGTCAGAAATCATGCATGGCCTTGGCATTAGCCAAAGATACTAAAGTGATTTTAAAGAACGCTTACACATGGTCGCTGTTTTGATAAAGCAAGGTAAACCTGTGTTAGCGATGATTTGGTGCGTCACTTTCGAAAACTCATGTTGTTAAAGCTGACACTGCTGAACCTAATTTTGATGCAGACTTTGAAGGTACTCCTGTTTTGCTAATATCGCACATGGATGTTCATCAGTTTTGGCTGATAAAGTTGCTCTTAAGATGGTGGGTGAAAAAGGTTATGTTGTAACGGAAGCCGGCTTTGGTTCGGATATCGGAATGGAGAAATTCTTCAATATTAAATGCAGGGCTTCGGAGATGTTCCCAATTGTGTTGTTTTGGTCACAACTGTAAGAGCGCTGAAGATGCATGGTGGTGGACCCATTGTTACACCTGGTACACCTCTACAACAAGAATACGTAAAAGAAAACTTAGATCTATTGAAGAAGGGATTGCCTAATCTAATTAAACATATTAGTAATGGTATTAAATTTGGTGTTCCTGTTGTTGTTTGTATTAATTCACATGCGTAAGTATTTTTATTTGTTTATATTTTTGTAGTATTTATTATTAAATCATATTTTTTACTTAGGACTGATACACAAGCTGAAGTGGAACTTGTGCGTCAAGCAGCGATTAACAATGGCGCCTTCGATGCTGCCATTTGCACTCATTGGGCTGATGGCGGTGCTGGAGCTTCTGCTCTAGCTGATGCTGTAATTAAGGCGTGTGATCAACCTTCAAAGTTTAAGTTTTTGTATGATGTAACACTGCCACTCGATAAAAAGATTGAAATCGTCGCGAAGGAAATGTACGGTGCTGGTACCATTGAGTATCTGGACCATGTCAAAGCCAAGATGGCGGAGTATGCTAAGCAAGGATTGGATAAACTGCCGATTTGCATGGCAAAGACTTCGCTTTCTTTAACTGGTGATCCAGCTGTTAAGGGAGCACCAACTGGTTTTGTTCTGAAAATTAATAATATTTCTATCTCGGCTGGTGCTGGGTTTATTGTTCCTATTGTTGGTGAGATTACTACTATGCCAGGATTGCCGACAAGGCCCGCAATTTATGATATTGACTTGAATCCTGTCACTGGGGAGATTGAAGGATTGTTTTAATTGTTTTTGATGTTTTTAACTAGTTGACACAAATTGATAAGATTGATGTTGAAATGTTTATATTTTTAATAAATTTGGGCTCAAATAATGTTTGTTTTATTTATTAATTACTGTAAAAGAGATAAACCGCAGTATTCATTCAATTTAAAAACGCGCTTTCAAGCGCACTAGCGCCACTGAAACTAAATGTTTAGTAACGTTTGTGGCTTGCATTCTTAAAATCTTTGAAGCAATTTTAAAACCACCATAATAGCGATAATAATGAAATTTATTTTTCTGTAGTAGAAATTGCTAAACCTTATCAGTTATTTCTTTTGATCAAATATTTTAAACATGTTTTACATAACTTTTCAATCTGACATTTGACAACTCCACAACCCTGCTGATTATTACGCATGCGCACTTGTCCACTCAGTTTCGCTGGTTTCCATCTTCACTCACGAAGTTTTGTACGTAATTATAAATTTATCCTCTTAAAACCTCTTACACATCACAAAACTCATCTGAACAACACCCCCTAATACCTAATCTATGTGTGTATAAAGATTAAACCCTATAAAACCCTATTCAAAACATATATTATCGATTTTTCGTTGCTAACCTCTTGGTCAAAAACTAGCAATATGATTACATAATTTTCGGTTTTTCTTTCGTAGATAATACCAATATCGCAATGGCAGACAAAGCAGCAGAGATCGGCAGGCCCATGAAGTTCCCCCACACCTTCACATCGAAACTGGTGCAGTTTCCATGGAAGCACTACTTCACCAACCAGTGGATCTGGAAGTACTATGCCATTGCTGTAGTTGTATCCATTCCTGTCTTCAAGAAAATCAGCAACTTGGCCAATTCACCCGAAAATGTAGCCAAGTGGGCCGAGATCCGCCGCAAGGAGGCCGCTGAACATCATTAATAAGCTTTTAAATGTACAATTGTTCTTCAGATTAAATAAAATAGAATATTACTAGAATCAGGCAGAGATGAAGTGACAAACACATAAAAATGATGTTTTTCTTTAAAAACATGATTATTAACACTTATAAAGCAAAAATATTAACATCTGAACACAATAGAAGGAAAAACTTAATTATAATAAACTAATTTAATTTTATTGCATAAAGTTGTAAAGTTAACAAGTGCTACATGGCTTTCTTACACTTTGCACTATAAGTAACAAATTTAAACATGCTTTACTCCAAAAATATAACTCCAGCTAGTAACAAATCACCTCTTACATAAAAAAAATCCCCGCGTGTAAATCATTCATGGCTTTATAATGGTACAATGATTCGTAGTTGCGATTAACGTCAAAATAGAACAAAATACTGCGGTTAAACAATATGATACAATCAAATATATGAATGACTATTAGGCACTGCCGACATCCAATTGTTTCCTCTCCAGGTTGCTGCCGGATGTAAGTTTCTTCGATTGCTTTTCATCAGTCTTCATTGCTTTCGCTTGTTGTTTCGGCAGTCGTGATTTGATAAATTTCACTAGTCTGACAATCGGATACAGCGATAACACGCGGAAAATTGATAGTATATTGATAAGTAAGGCTTTCGTCGGTTCGTAGTAATATTTAATGCCCATCTCGCGTTTCACGTACAGTTCCTCAGCGTACATGAGTCGATCAATGTAGATTTTATGCATGATGTCGTTTACTTTGATTGGGCGATTTTCATACTTGCCAAAACCTATTGAGCAGAGAGATTCGCCCAGGTTGATTGTTTGTTCTTTCTTCTGCTGAAAATTAATAAAATTTTGAGTAAAAAATTTACATATTGTGTAGTGATTAATGTATTTTACTTACCTTAGGTAATTTTTGTGTTAAATTCACTTCACACAAAAGATATTTTGAATATTTTGAAAGGGGAACAAATGTAACCTGATTTCCTGAAACAATAGACTGCAACCAGTTAATACCAAGACTGTTAATGTTTACATTTGCGATTTTAACAGGCAGATCCTCATTATGTTTGTGCACAAAAGGCACTTTAATGATTGGTGAATGCTTCACCATTAGCACAGCTCCATTGGGCTCAATTCTACAGACTTCTCCGGTGATTTCTCGCCGGTTTCTAATGTATGAATTCGGCACATCGTCTGGTTTAGTAAATTTTTTAAACTAAATAACAAAAAGTATTAAAATTTGTTAATTTGTTGCTTTAAAATTACAACTTACAGGTCTAACTCTCCTCAAAGCAACACTCAAACCAATAAAAGCTATGGAATATATTCCAATCTAGAGAAAAACAAATAAAATTTTAATTTTTCATTATAAACTTAACATATTTTGATTATACCTGCGTGCCCCGATTGTTGTGCGACTGCCATTCGCAGTATTTGTTGAAGAGCTCCTTCAGATCGTCCCTTTGCGTCGTCATATTTAAATTTTATTTTGGACAATTTACGATGTTCATTTGAAACGCTCTCTTGACGCAATACTAACTACGTTTAGCAGGTTGCAAACGAACTCACTGCTAATTATATCACTGACTGGAGAATATTTTTGTAGATTGCCAATATAACTTGAAATTTTTAGAGGTTAGGCTTTGGATTATGATTACAAAACAACAAGGTGCGTCAATATATCGACGTCAAAAATCTATAAAAACAAAAACCTATAAATTGAAATCGATAACATTAACTTTTGTAAAGTTGTGGGTTTCTGATAAATTTTATCTAACAAGTTTCATTCACAACATGTAATATATTAAGGTATAACAAACTTCGATGTGATTTTTAGTAATAATTCAATGATTTAAACAATCATTATAAATATAAACGTTAATTATAAATAATATTAAACAATAGTTTAGTGCAAATACTAATAATCTACCCGAATTTTGAATAAAATCATTTGAATAATATAGCCTACATCAAATCTTGGTTTGGTGTATGTTGGGTTGCCAAAGTTTGAAGTTTGTTGAATGTGACAACCTGACGTATCGGCCCGTGTTTAGTTCACTTTAAGTCGCCATTGTGATTTGCAATAAGCAGCTGTAAGTATCGTCGATTTCCTCGCTAAACAACGCAATTTGCGCGTCGTGAGTGCTCCAAAGTGGTGCGCTTTGCTGGCGTACACCAGCCGCCACCGCAGTGAACACGCGCTGCCGCCACCTTTGCGCGCGATTTACGTAACGGCGAGCAGGGACTCGCTGTTTTAATTGACACTCGGACAACCTTTTTTTTCATTCTATTTACATGTCATTTACCCCGTTGTGTCGTCGCGCGACACGGCGCACGACGTCGTCGTTCCCGACGTTCCACCAACGTCTTGACCACTCGCAGTAAGTACCTGCCGACAAATTACTACAAATGTTTTTTCGTTACATAGAGATCGACATGATTCCTGGCAATGTGGACCCCCGGAGGCCTGAGAAGGTTCAGCGCTACAAGCCGCCACAAGCAAATGGAAATGCGCCTGTGGAGGATCTCACTCCGGACTACATGAACATACTGGGTGAGTTTCCCTCAACAGTTTCATAGACTACTTGCGAAAGTCACTCACAAGTACACACAGCAAAGTTGTTGATTGTTTTCTTCAAATGCAATGTCCTCATATCGAAAATATTGTAGAAGATTATTAAATAAACTGATTGAGGATGAATGCGTATTTCATGCTTATTGCATACAAGTTTGTATAATAAACATGAGCATGTTTAGTGTGTGTGATGACACAGTGCAGTGCACATGACTTACATTGATATTTATATTAGGCATAAATTGGTCTCTCATTGACCTTAATTAATTAAGGTGGTGCTGAGCGGAGTGTTTCGTGATTCATTCGCATTGCATCCGCTACGCCCGGCGGCTATGGCCTGGCGCCGCCGAATGAACAAAAGCGATGAAGTTATTTTATTTGTTTGCTGGTTGGAGCAAGTTTTAAACGTACGAAATTTCATTGTCAAAGAACATAAAGCAGGAGAATATAAACTAAGTTTTCATAGGAGTTTCAAAATTAAATTAACATCTTTGTTATTGCACTTAAAACTTGTGAAACTTGGTGTAAAATGTTTAATTTTGTTTAGTTTTTGGTTAGAAAATGGAATTCAAGTTTTTATTTGAGTAATATTGACAGTTTTTCATATTTATATTTACTTTTTAACAATAAATATGATTAACTGATATTAAATGTGATCATATCATTAAAGTATGTGAATAATTTTGTATTCATGTTTCAAAACAAACTTTTTGCACTCAAATTTCTAAGTTTTTTTTTAGAATGGTGTCAATGCTGTGCTATTTTCTAAAACCAGTTGATATATGTGTGCTTATTACGCATATCTTTCAAATTTGACCGAGAAAATTGATTAAATATAATAAATAGTTATAAATAGTTATGAAAATCAATGTCTGTATCGCTCCGTACCAGCAAAACAAAACCAAAGCTCTAGTCAGTTGTGGAAACCAATGAGAAACCGCAAAAATCGTATTCCGAGAAGAGTTTCATTGATAAATTTCGTCGTGCGACAACTATTTCAATGTTTGCATTCGCGCCGACGCGCTTGCTTCAAATGTTCAAATGTTTACGCATTCGAAAGTACCGCGCGCAATTTAGGATATAGAATTTCGTTGTTTATCCTCGCGGCCGGCGTGTTTACGATTCGCCGCGAACATCACCCAACCACACACATGAGACGCAAAAGTAGATAATAAACGCAGTGAGTCAAACAATTTGCGCGTCGCGCGCGCGAGGCCGCGCACTGTCGCCGCGGTGCGTCTAGTCGCAAGTCCATTCTCGCGGCGTGCCGACCAACCGTCCGGAAAACCAGGTTGTCGTGTTGCGCTCTCAAAATTGGCCCTCCCCCCACGAGCGGATGGCGGACCGTATTGAGTGACGAGTGGGTACCCGTAGCTAAATTTAAAATCAAACAAACCACCTACCTCACAGCTGATGATTGCGCACTGAAAGAAAGAAAGAAATGTCTAACGCTTGCATTCCGTAGGTCCCGACTCGGCCACGGCAATTGCAGACGGCATAGAAAAGAGCGGCGACGAAGACCTCGCCGGGGCGTCCAAGTCGACGTCGCAGGAGGCCAACGCCACCACCGTGATACCCACGAGTCCTCAATACGGCGTCGAAATAATCAGCAGCGCCGGCGACGAGGTCACCACCACAGCCATCGACAGCGTCGTCGAGACGACGGCCAAGGGGCACCTTGCGGCGAACGTCGACGAGGGCAAGGATATGCATTCGACGCCGAGCCGAAATGACCGCTTCAAGGTGGTCAAAATTGCTAGTTTGGAGCCATTTCGGCGCGGGCGGTGGAAATGTATGGACTATGTGGATGAAAATCCACCACAACCACAGCCGTCTGCGAAGCAAACGCAGTCAGCGACGAACATTCAAATGGGAGGATCGCAGTACATGCAGACACAGAGCCTACCACCGCAACACTTTCAACAAATGCTGGTGCAAAGCGGGTTTGCAGGGTCGCCTGCAGCCGGGTTCTACCAAGGAATGCCGAATCAAATGCTGCCCGGGCAGTATTTCTACCCGCACGGCAATGCGGTGATCTCACAGCAGGTGCCGGTGCAAACTGGCAGTACCACCGGCATGCAACAGTTTATCAACGCCGCCGGCCAGCCGTATTTCCCCGCAAATGTACCGCCGCACGCCGCCAGCGCCGGCTTTACGTACTCTAACGTACAGTACGTCCAGCCGAATCTCATTCAGACACAGAGCTCTGCGTTTGTTCCCACCAGCCAGACAGCGAACTTCCAACAGAGTCAGACCTATGCCGGCCAACCAACGACTGCTCAACAACAGCCGATGGTAAATGGTCATGCTTTCCCGCCGGGCGGCGGGACGGAATCACCTCAGGTGGTGGCCAGCCTGCCGACGCAAATCGCCAAGAATGTTATTCTCCAACCTGCAATCGCTTCGATGAACCAGACGCCGCCCACGGTTGGGCAGAACAGTATAAGCCAGCCAGCTCAGTACAACCCAGCCTACCAACCCGCAAGTCTACCCGCCAATCAAACGCCTGCAGCCCAACTCACCAACATCACAGCCGTCACGCAGGTGACGCAAGGTACGCCTATCATCACACCCGTGCCCGCCGCCGTACAGCCGTCGAGCCAGATTACCAATCCGGCCGCCGTCAGTCAGGCGGTAACGCTCACAGCTGCCAGCGCATTCAATCAAATGCACATTGCGCAGATACCTATACCCATAGCGCACTCCGCCCCCGCATCATCGACGAATCCGATGTACGTAGCGCAAGGTGGTGTGCCTAATGCTGACGATGGACAAGGCGATGTGGTAGGCGAGAGCAAAAATCCCGACAATCCTGAAGCCGGACAGCCAGGAGAAGATCCGGCTAAAGCCAATCCGGTCGTCAATGCAATTGATAACAAAATTGAACAGGCGATGGATTTGGTTAAGAGCCATCTCATGTACACGGTGCGCGAAGAGGTCGAGGTGCTTAAAGAGAAGATTGTCGAACTCATGGAGCGTATTCAGCAGTTAGAGACAGAGAACGCGTACTTAAAACAGCAGGTACTGAAGGGGGCGGGCGCGCCACCACCGACGAACGGTACGACGACGAGCACGAATGACGGCACGCCGGATCCCACGTCTCAGACGCCCACGCAACAACCCCCAGCGCCGCAATAGTCCGCGCAGCAGCTGCGCACGCTCCTCGGCCATCTTTTCCAACAACAACAACCGCCACACAAACCACACGAGTTGCAGTGATTGACTTTGACTTTGACCTTAGTGTAAGCGTACAAGCGGACAATCGTTGTGTTTGTGCGGTATGAGGGTGTGGGACGTCTCGAAGCGGCGGCCATTTTGCACACGCACACTGCGCTGCGCATACTTGGCTGACTTCTGGTTGGTGGTAATCTCTCCCGAAATGTAGCCAAACCGCTTCATTTAAGCAACACACACACGCAAGAATATCTTGTAAATTTGTAATTATATTGTAAAAAAACAGATATCTTATATATTATTAACAGATTACGCTAAATATTTAAATTTACGAAGAGGCGGAAAACGGACGCGATTGGTAAACAAATTGAACTTATACATAGATAAAGCCAAATTTATGATTTGGTGCTATTCAGAACTGTGATTATGTGCTCTTTTTAATTGATACTATTGATAATACGATATATTAAAATTAAAAAATGCGATAACGAAAAACGCTGGAGACTAAGGGTGTTGTAAGAGAGAAACAAGTAAGAAATTAAACGAATGTACGAAGTACGACAGAGCTGAGCAAGCTGAAAAAAACACTATCATTTGCTGTAAACAAAATTTTAAGCAAACAAAAGTTGATGTAATTTATTCTTATGCGCAGTCGCACGTAGCGAAATCGAGGAATGATCTAGGCTCTAGATGATTTAGCGAAATTTCATTTTAATAGTCAATTGTAATGAGCAAACTGCGCATGCGCAGAATGCAGTGCTTCTAATCAAATTGTTCTGCGCGAAGTCGCACCGTCAAAAATTAAAAGAAAAAAAACTAGCCACTCACGCGTATAGTATATTTTTTTATTTAATTTTATTGTATTCGAATTTGTTCATTTTTGTTTTATCAAGAGAAGAAAAAAAAAACAAGCATGCAAACAAAACATCCACGCACCACAAGAAAAACAACACTATGACTAAATACTAATGTAAAACTAAATTATTATACACGATGCGATGAATAAAGCGAAGGAAAACTTACAATTCCTACGTCCTAACCCTACACTGTAACTAAATATCTTTACATCTACTACGAGCTATATTTTTATATGCGTAGTTTCTGTTCGTCTATTTTAAGTTAAACGAACTTAAACTTGTCTAGCTAATATCTTAATCTTATTACAGTTGATATATTTGCCACTTTGGCAAATAGAGACTGATTGAGGTTAAGTATTAGTTTGGCAGTCACAGAAAATGAAACAAAAGTTGTTTAAACGTGATTTCAGTGTTTTGTTATGTAATATTATGCGTAGTATTCGTATGCTGTATATTCGTATAACTCGCAATATAAATGAAGTAAACAATAAGACAGATGATTGTTGCATAAATAAAGGAAATATGAGTATAAAAATAACATAACTACAGTTTCATTACAGGTTGGTAATACTTTTATTCACTTGTTAAACACTATGTTTTGTTTTTCTTTATCTTTTTGAAAATATTACTAATTTGCTGTTTTTGTGTTTCAGGAATGATTTTCAGCATGTGTGGACTCATGATGAGGTTGAAATGGTGTGCATGGGTCGCCTTGTACTGCTCCTGCATTAGTTTTGCAAATTCAAGGATTTCAGACGATACTAAACAGGTAAAACTATGTAGTAGTTGTACAAATACATGTTTTTAACTTTTCCTTGAATATTTCAGATCCTCAGCTCGTTTATGTTGTCTATCAGTGCCATAGTCATGTCATATCTTCAAAATCCACAACCTATGACTCCGCCATGGGCGGCTGCGGTAAACTAAACACTTGAAACCAAAGTATAAACATTGAATTGGTTTCTAAACATGTTCAGATGATTGTGCAATCATTGACATACAACATTTTGGGGTTTATTAGTCAATCGTTTCTTTATTATTATTTTCATCACTATAATGAACATGTCACAATAAAAAGTACAAAAAGTTAGTTGCTGCACTTATAAAACTTACAAATCTACAAAACATTAATAACTCAAGTCAGACGTTTGAGCTTTTTGCTAAGAATTAATATCACAATATTTGTTTGATTAAAACTTTAAAATTTTAGTCATATGAAGATTTAAAGTGCCACATCACGATATTTCTGCACATCCTCAGCGGAAGCATTGCTGAGGAGTTTTTGCTACTTAATTTATCCACTTGTTTCTTATATATTAAAAAGTCTGGCCCATCCAAAGGACCGTAATAGATTGGCACGCCGTAATTCTCGACTGGCTGCGCATAGAAACCGGTACGATTTCGGATCAAGTGCGTGTCACGTTGACCATCCACAGCGTCGGGAAGATTAATGTGCGTGGAGCTCTGGTTAAGTTCGTCGAGGGAGGCGAACTTTGGCAGTTTGGTATGTGCTTGTCTGCCTAAACTAAGCGTGTAGTTACTTCTCGGATAGTTAGGCACTGGCCAGAATCCTTGTGGTAAAGAATCCTTGGATGATAGTTTGTCATCCGGTGTGGTTTGAGGTGCAGGTAATGCGGAAACTTGACGGAGATCCATTAAGGATTGTGTTTTTTTCACTAAAAATGAATTTAATTTTTAGGTTGATTAAAAAGATTGATAATTTGATTGATATTATAAACTTACTTGATTCAGTCGAAGTATCAATCTTTTGTGGTACAAATATCGATGCATTAAATTCACTTGCAGTCGTAAATTGATATCCTTGATAGCCTTGATAATAATCAAAGACATTACCCATCATATTGTTGGGAAAAGCAAAGTTTCCAAACAGATGCGGCGTGCTAGATGCGCGTTTCAACGATCCTAAATACTGCAACTGTTCCATTGAGGTGTTAAACGCATTATTTTGATAAAACGGCCCGCCATTTTGATGGTACGCTGCTGTTTCCGCAGGAATTGTCACTGCCTGCAGACTTAGGTCACGCAATCGCTTGGAAACAATCTCTTCTTCCTTCCAGGACGTGTACAGCGACTGCACTAACACGATTTCGATGACATTGGCGAGAATTCGTGCCAACCAACACGTTAACTCAGTTATTCCATACAATGATTCAATTCTCTGCAAATAAACGACAAATTTATTAATATGTTATAGTTTGGACAACGTGTTGAGTTAGCGGGACTTGTTGGGACTCACCCAGTATTGGATGCTCATGTAAATGACCATTCCGGCTTCCGGAAACGTGAGAACCGTGACGGCGAACATCCAGGCAATCAGGCACAATGTGTTCTTCTGCAAACAGTGACGAAAAAACGTAAACGCAGAGTTAACAAACTATAACAATGTTACAATTAGGTTTACAATTGTTGTCCAGCATTTTCATGGTGGACAATGACATGGGTCACAAATTACACACCACAGCTACCAGCATTTTAATTTAAAAATTATTTAACTACAAAATAATATTTTCATTTCTGATTTTCGATTTCATGCGTGCTACTAATGCGTGTAAATTTGTTTAAATTTACACAAATTAACTAGCAATTTGCAATTATTTGCAAGGATTATCGCACTGAGTAAACAGTGCGCCGATAGAAAGTGTTGATTGTTCATAATTTACGACTTATATGCTTTGGGCCGTCGAGGAAGAGAAAACGTCGACGATTCTATTTAATTTCATTCATTGCGAATTCAATTGCACATAATACTGTGCCATTAATGTTCATAATTTTATGATTGGTCACACTATCACATATTACTTAACTGATAACTGTATTTAATGTTTTAGAATATTTCCGGCCGTAATTTAAAAACACGAAAGAGGAAAGGATTGCCTTCAGGAAACATATTAGTGACTTTAAATATTTATTATTACTTACAGTCGCTAATCCATGGATTAATAACGCCGCGAATAATGCGAGTGTGAAATATCCTGCGCATAATAACACTGCAGCAGTCGGTAGAGTTGTGGAAGATTCTAAAATCCATAACAATTCGAATGCGAATGCGATGAGATAAGTTATCTGAAAATAATAAAATAAAACATGAATATATTAAAATTTATGAGTCATGCATTCGTGTGTTTAGTGTTTATGCCCTGACGAATTGCTAACCCGTGGCAAGTCTAATTTCAAACTTAAATAACGGATTATGCAAATCGTAGATATGCAAAAGGTAAACTTATTTAATATAAGTACATGCTGGAAGACGTGCCAGACGATTATGTCGCATCATGCATCACGCGATGGCTTAAAACTTTTAAAAACTGTATGAACCGTTGGATAATATAATTGACAGACGAGACGCACCTCTTTTAATTCGCCAGTCGCCCAGTCGGCGCATTTTTTCGAAATGTTTCATCACATTCGCATCATCGTAATCATTGAGGCGGTGTTTAAGGCACGTGTAATTATGTGTTTATGTAAATATATGTATGCTTATTTTGTGTGGTAATGTGTCATTAATACGATGTGGGAAATTCAAGATGTCTTAATGAAACATTTCTTAATAATTTCATTTGGATTTTTAATTTTTTCAATTAATTATAGGTAATCTGTTCAAGTATGTTGTTGAATGTTGGATTGTTATTTTAAAAAGTGAGGCTTGATTGATTTTTATTACTTTGGTTTTACAAATATGTAATTACACGCTCTGATTAATTGATTAATAGCTTAATCGTTCATGAAACTCTGCGTAAAGTGTACCAATTTTTAAATTAATTTATAATTTATTTCATTCTGTCATTTATTATGCTAATTTGTAACTTGAATTATTATTGGCATAATTTATTTTGTAGAATTTAATTGATTTAATGTTTCTGCGATTCAATCGTGTGTAATACTAAGTGGTAATTAAGGAAAATTAATTATAGGATAAAAGGATTAAATTTATACGCAATACTTGAATTATTTGCAAATATTTTACAATAATTCAACAAATTTTGCTTCTTTAGTCATTTTAATTGAATATTTTTATTGTTTGTTAGTAACTAGCCTCATTTTACGAAAATTCGCAGATTTTTCATGAGTAATCTCGCTAATATTAGAAATTTAACAGACGTGAATGCAAATCTAGAAACTTTTAAGTTGATACTTAATCTGTGGTATTAGGAGTGATTTAAAATCAGCGTTCCGTTGAGTTATCATTAAAAAGTTATTAATGCGTTCACGCCGGTACTTACTAATTATTGACGATTTATACTTAATCGATAATCACAAGTTGATCGATGCCACGATAGCAGACGCACTGAAGACAGATTAATCGTTTGCTTCATGCGTTCGTGATTTGAGTCATAACGCAGAAGTTATCTATACTTAAACGTGATTTATAACCGTAAATTGCTTCAAAAAGAAATTAAGGACATTGGAGAGAACGCAGGTTGGGCATTCATTAGTCATATTCAAATTATTGTTGAAATTAATAATAAATTAAATCGATAAATCAATTAAATAAGAGAAAATCGTACAAAATTGTATATTGTTGATACAATGCGTTTAAAATAACGAATTTATTTTGAAATTGATTTTAAAATGATTAATTTTAGAATAACACAATATAACAACACTAATCTTAAAAGATATTTTAATTATAGTCCTAGTTATGCTTGGAAATTATAATCATTGATTACATGATGCAGATGTTGTATTGTTATAGCTGCATGTAGAACACGAACAACACTTAGCTATTAAAATCTTTTAATCTTGATGTTATAGTAAAATATTGGAACATATCAAGATCTTAGATTGACGGTTGTAAAGCGAAGAATGTATTCGTAATCTGTTGTGCGCATTTTCATTGATTCATTGATTGAAAACAGTTTCATTGATTGAAGCAGTAGGATAAAACATTCGACCTGGTTTAGATTAATTGCAAGTAGTAAGCGGCATAAAATAAGATTGCAATGTGCGTTAATCAATGATAATGGCATCGATTAATGTCGATTTTAATTTACTACGGCGCTACAAATGCTAAAATATATAGGTAAGGAATGTAAAATGGTGAAATATAGTGCGTGCATGTGAACAAAGAATAGTCGTGCGAAAAACTTGGTATTTAAACATAATAAACAAAATAACAATCCATTACGATGACTAATAAACTTGTATACAAGTAGCTAGGCTTTAAATATCAGAATAATATCACAAAAACAATAAGTTAACACGAAATTCTAATTGAAAACAATTTATGCAACCAAATTTACGTAAAACGATGCAAAATGTTAAGTTTTAAAGTAAAAAATCAACGTTTTTTATTCGTTATTCTATTATTTATAATTAATAGTTATTTGCACTCAAATTTCACTCCCATAAAGATAAATTATTACCGTCGGTTTTCTTTGAAGTGATTTTTGTACGTTTCATTTTGTTTCGTTTTCGGTCTCTGCTTATAAACTTTTTTATTTGCTTTGCCTGTCGCTGCTTATTGGAATTTCGTGCGTTGTGCGTTTCTACGCCTCGGGGAAGTCTTTCGAGTCAGATTCACTTTTGTTTCGTACTTTAGTATTTCGTGTCTTGCTTCTTGTTCATTTGGAATGGTTTTTTGTTTGTTTCTGCTCACAGAGAAATATTTTGAATATTTTATGTTGCAAAATACGCACGGAGCAGTGTAATATGTATGAACACATATTCAGGCATAGGAATATAAAGAATTGCGAAACTATGGAAACTCAAGACTTTCTCGTGCGTATTTTACGTCCAGAACAAATCTGCGGTACCTGATTGTACCATTTTAATGTGAAAATGTTCTTTATTGCTCATAACTTAATGATTAAAACATTAAACTGCGCAATTTATAAGTTTAATCAAGACAAGATAAAATATACTTACTTTTGTCAAATGTAACTCACATTTATGAAGCATTTTAATATATCTACGATTTGCGTGCTGTGCAAATATTACCTTCATAAGTAACAAAATTCACAAACAAAGATTTATATTATGTGGTTTTGCTTGATTGAGTATAACATGATTTATAACTTTGTATATTATGTACTCGCACAGTGCAAATTGCAATCGTAATATTTTACTGCTTTGCGTATTCATATTTTAAATTCCATCTGAGATTTTTACCTCTCCATGTTACTTAAGTTGAGATAAGCTGCGCTTAGAAAAGGCGCTGCTTCGCGCTCAGTGCTCGCATATGCCAATAAAACCGTTTTGAATAAAAATCTATTTAGATCAGCGCGAAGCCCACGTGCGTGTTTATGCACGCGGGTCGGTTGTCATTTTGTGTCGCTGCCGGTTTTCTATTACCGCCTAATCGTGCGAATAAAATTTATACCTACGAGTACATAATACGTATGAACTCAGCAGTAACTTGACCAGAAGTTAAGTTAAGCAGCAATTCTTAATAATTTTAGGAATTTTAGGAATTCCGGAGATAATATTACATATAATTTGAGTTTTAAAGATAAATTTATAAAATGTGGCCGTGAATTTCTTTCTTTTTGTTGTTTCTACTTAATTTACGTAAACTTTTACTGAATAATTTATTTTCAAGCGTCTAAAAGTACTTTAAACTCAATTGAAACACTTTCCGTTTGTATTCCTTTTTTCAACTTGTTACTAATTGAATTTTTACACCTCTTTAACCAGTTTTTACCGATGGTTTATCGCTTGCATTGTTTCATTACGTCCGTTTCTACTCCGGCCTAAAAGTAATTGTAATTCAGTTATGTACAAATCAATTGCGGTTTGATTGTCGGTCGCATGCCGGTTGCACTAAACTCAATCCAAATCCAAACATAATTGAGCCTAGAACACTAGGTACAGAGCAGAATTGTAAATACCTAACTGTACATCCGGATACGGACGTGTTACTGGCTGCATTTTAGTCTGTTTCCTGCGACTGCTGCTAACCGACAAGCCTGCATTTTGTTTAGCGTGTAATAGTGAACGTTTATGTTGAACGAAAAAAAAAACGCTAATTAATTTGTATCCATTTATGATTTCGAATTGAGTTTGAACAAAGCGTTAACGATCGAATAAAATATTCAAGGCGAGGAAGTAAAGACACGTGCTTAACATGTTGATTGCTGGAATTTTATACTTGAACTGCTTTCAACTTTTAATATTGGTAGATTAAAAAGTCAAGATCAATCGTAAAAGTAATATGTCTTTATTACAACGATTAAAATATTTGTTTTGATATAAAAATAGACAATTAAAGCAATTTTTGATAAATAATTGGCTGAAATTTTAAAAGTTTGGTTATGTTTTACCATTTTTTACATTTTCGTATTTTTAGTTTATTTTTTGAACTTGTATGTGAACATGACGTGACAAAATGACTCTACAAGCACAATATTCCATAAATTAAAAACTTGAGTCTTATTAAAATATTCCGGTGAAGTGACCTTAACATTTTTCCTTCCTTGCATCGCTTGCAGCGACGTGTTTTCAACGCGCCGACGTGTTTCAAGTTACAAATGAACCGCAACTGACCAACGTTTACTTAAATTTTAAATAGTTTAACAAATACGTTTCAAACGAATGAATGAATGAATGAAATCGCCCACAAATCAACAAATCTTTCAACACCAGTTGTAATTTACTAAATACATAATTATTTTGCATGTTAAACGTTCAAAGAAAGATAAACAAATGAAATGCACTGCGTATTGTTTCTCCGGACGGTATTTGTTTCAAGGCGATTCGCGACTTCCACACAGTAATTATTTATTTAACGGAGGTTAGCACTCCGATAGATTAATTAATTTAGAATAATTTATTAGTTCGATTAATTGCAAGTAAACTATGTACTTTCCTGATTGGGAGTTTTTTGTTTTGGTGTGTTGGTTTTAAATTAATTGCAAAGTCATGTTTGTTGTGTGTTGCAAAGCGAGTAAAAGTGTGAATGGCCTAGTTAAGCGGCGTTTTTCCATTTTCCGTTAACCGCCTGACTGCACTTTACTCTAACTCCGCAAGTTTCAAGCCTACGCGTTAAAAAGTGCGCTACGCGTTTGAAAATCGTAGTCGTAGAAATACGAGTAGAGAAACGCAGAAACGCAGAAATGGAAAAACAAATTAGTGCCTTAACGGTGCGCGCAATTATGTTTAGCTGTACACTAGACTTTGATTTGCTACTTAGTCACAAACTGGAAAATTTTATTATTAAAGATTTGTGAGTGTGTGCGTGGAGTTTTAAAAGATTGTAGGTTTCGGGTTGTAGGCTTGCTGCTTGCAAAATCAGTTTGCCAAGTTTGTTGCAATATTGCTGTTTAGCATACGTTTAGCAAAGATTGTGCATTCGCATGACTCGCTTGTTTACTTTTATGGCGAGACGCGTCATGGTTTAAAAAGGAAAAACGCGAGAAGAATGAATCCGAGAGGAAAACTGTAATTGCGCACATATTGCAACACTTTGCGAAGAAGTGCTCAAAACGCAGCTGAGCGGCAAATAAAAAATACCTTCCGGCGAAAATGATCACTTATTTAATTTACAAACAACGTTTTGTTAAAAATTTAAATCAAAATGGACAAACATAAATATTACTCCTTAATTTTATTTTATTTATTAAGATTTGAACTAATTATGATGTAGTTTAATGAATAAAAGTCGAAATGACTTTTATCATCAATTGTTGGTTTCACTCGCATTTTAATGATTTTTTAATGACTCCAAATTGTGGTTTGATGCAACACTTTCGTTCACCTTTGCTCACCTTTGCCATAACCGCTGCGAACTTACATTCAACTCTAAACAAACATAATAAAAACACGAAAGGAATGCAGAGCGCATTTGTAACAGTCACAATAAAAATAAAATCTTACAAAACCGCTCGTAATAAACCAAACAATAAAAAACACACAAATTAAAACGTTAAAATCTCATATCTGAGAAATTCTACTTAATAAACAAATACATACCTATATCTAGTTAAAAATTTAGTCCTTATTAAACATTGGAAATCTACAAGATTTCATTTTAGTTTTGTTTAGTTTTGTCACAGCTGAAGTGATCACACATGGCATGTCCATGCTATTACGCGTTTCGCATCTGTTAAATTTTAATAAAATACAACTTGAGTTAAAATGCTTGAAACGCGAAGAGTTGGGTCCTTGAGCAGGCACTAAACAAACAAATCTTGTCATTGTCGTAACGTTTGCTAATCAGCATGCAGACCAATGCCTATATCTGTGCGTGTCCACATCGTTTGTTAGTCTATTAATTAGATAGTCAAGGAAAATGAAATTTTACTTGAGTAAATATTGTGCAAAGAAGCGAAGAGTTAAAATGGAAGACTTGTGGTGCTGTGACAATGTAATCGTGGGCAGATCCTTCGGATTATCATAAATAACATAAGTAAAATAACTTAGAAACAAAGAATATTAATTAATTCGTATTGTAAGATTTGTTACATAATTTATTTTCAAGGATTGTAGGAAATCACATAAATTTCATATTTTATTAAAACTTTCTTTCAAACCGTTTTATAATCTTAATAAATACAAGTTTAGTATGCCAACTTTTCATTCATATTCAATGAATTTAGGCTAACATAACATTTAATAGATTATATAGTTCATCTTTTCAATTTATTCATTGCATTCAGAAACTTGAAAATCTAGTTTACGAGTATACCAAACCGTTAAAAACTTTTAACATTCTTTAAGTATAGATTGAAACAGATAAAAATCTTATACAAACGCTTAGCGCTGATTTGTGCGATAAATGTCAAATTTCACATTTTCATAAATTTCACCAACGAAATCCTTCGATTTGATTGCATAAATGTTTAATATCATGCTATAAACACATAAAGCTGATGAGATAACCATCAACATCATAAAACACCTCGGTAGCTTTCGATGATAACTCCATAAATTACATTGACAGCCTCTAATAATGAATGCAAGATGCTCCCAGCAAAAACCACTACATTCCACGTATGAATAAATAGGAATGACGTACAAATAGCAAATAAACGCTTTCAACATAACAGCACTCACTTAAAAGGAAGATTGAATGATATGCTAATTGCAAAAAGGAAAACATCATACTTCAAATTCGACTATAAAACATATCACACATCAAACACCTTAATAGAATCATGTAAAATTGTAAAACAGTGAAAGTATTGCATAAATTTTGTCCTCGTCGTGTGACTAATCAACTATTTGTTTGTTAGAAGTTAGAAGTTTCTTCATGATTCATTTATGCATTGCTTCATTTGTTTATCATTCTTTTTTTAGCTTCAATGTGAGAATTACTCGTACATTGACAATCGCTTTCGGCAATCGCACACATTTCTTTTGTTTTCGTGCTGATGCGATGAGACATGCACGTCGTCGTAAAAATGTCTGGATGTGTTTCGTTTTCTTGCATTGCGGTATTGCGATAACCATCAAGGAGAACAATGTGTCAGTGACAAACGGTGAGAGAACAATGCTTAGTCGCGTCACAGAATCAGAATTTCAATTTTTGTCACTTAACATAGGTATTATGATGTATTGTACATCGGCACGTGCGAAGAAAAAAGAATCATGTTTTCATAAAATTATTTTTAAAAGGTTAAAAGTTAGTTTTATGATGTTTTTTTCTTTTATTTCCGTTAACAAATAGTTTTTCTAGAAAATCCAAGCGTAATTATTCATAATTTATTTAAGTTTTAACTAAAATTAAAAAAAAATACTTTTTAATTTAAAAACTTGTTTAAAACTTTGTTTTTCATTATATTTTTAACTCTTTAAAGTTAATTTCTGTGCGTAGGCAATTAAACCGCGTGCTTTGCGGTTTCCGTGTGAATTTTCCTTAATTTTACATTGTTTGATATCCCTTTGCAATAAGTAACTAAGTTTCACATTGTTTCATTTGATTCTTTTCCGTGAGTTTTGTGTATATTTTTGTGCAGTTCATGGGAGTTTTCGATTAGCGGAATATAAAGATTTAGATAAGTCTAATTTCGTAACACGTTAACTCACAACTCTGTACCTACTCTTAACTCGTGTCTCTATCATTATTCATAATTCATGTAACGTAATTTGTAATTACATGCAGCTGACGTACGAGGATATATCTAGAGATTCAGGAAACAATCGAACATTGAGCACGAGACAAGATTTTCATCGGTGACTCAAACGCTTAATTATAAAATATGCAATAACAGGTTTCTATAGGAATGTAAATGTATTCAATTGTTGTGTGAGATGTATTTATAAGATAATGTAGACTTAGTTTAATAACTTACAAGGAGATAAACAGCTAAAAATCCAGCTGCGATCGCTAAACTACAGCAGAAACAGTTTTGAAAACAGGAGAGGCGATCGTTAACGAACGTTTCGCACTGGCGCATCACAATCGGTGATAAACACATTTTAAACTTTGTTTTAAATTGGTTTATCACTAAAAGAAAACTTCTTTCATTGTTTTTGGTGTTTTTGTTACTTAAAACTTTGGATTTATTAGCGTTTTAAACACTTTCAGCTTAGATTTAATCAAGTGTATTACATTTTTGTTTTTAATGTTTAATGATTTAAATACCTGATGTGCACTTAACTTAATCCTAATTCGCTCGTTAGCGCGCAACGCGTGTTTCGCGCCTCGAAAGCTCGAAATTGCACTGACCGATCGAAATTCGAATCAGCGGCGACGCGCGCGCTCGACACGCGTTTGCAAACTCGCACTCAAATTTCCCACTCGGTTTTAAAGCTGCGGGCATTACGCATAACTCCGCAAGAATGTTCTTGAGAGAACGAGCAACGATTTGTAACTTTCTCTGTTTCACGCGCGTTTGTATGCAACACGCGCAATCAACATCGTAAGCACAGGTATGATATCATTTCATTCGTTGTATGAATCACGAAAAGTTAAATCAGCGCTCTGATGATGTTTTAACATTGGCAACTTTTAATACTCAACTTTAGTATGGGTTAAGTTCGTAGATGTCGCTATTTAACATTATATTTGGATGTATTTAGTTTGATACATAGTTTGATACATTCAATTATTCAAGGAAAAAAATTCTTAAATTTGTTTATAACAAAACTGGAACTTGGAATTTCAATGTAATTCAGTTTTTATTAACCTTCTGCAATGTGTAATATATAGTAGTATTGAATCAACTAAAGTTAAAAAAGAACTACCGGTATTTTGGGTTGCCTACGTTACAACTCTACAATTTAAAAATAATCACAGATAAACTAACCATTCAACTTGTATGTTTTTTAAATTGAAGCAGACAAAGCTAATAGTATAATTGTAAAAACAGAAACTCCTCTGATATCAAGAAATTAATTTAAAAATTAATATAAATTAAATTAAATTTTAATTAAATACAAATAACCGAGCTAATAGTTTGAACAAACTATTCCCAAATAACCAACCATCGCATATATTTTAAACCTAGTGAGATGTAAGTTTTTACTCTAACGAATTCTTTTAAGACAAACGTCGGCTTTGTATTGATTGTGACTGTGAGTTCGGTATCGACTTGAATATTTATGAGCGGAATTAAAGCGTTCGCGAATTAATCATCATAGACAGCCTTCGTTGCTTCGCATTATGCGAACTTCTTCTGCTATGTGCGCGCCAGTGTGCAGGAGTTTGGAAACTTCCAGCTTAATTGAAATGCACGAAACGCTCGCGCTGCCGGAGAGCGAACGAAACTCGATGCGGCCGTGTCGCCGTTGCCCCGCCGGCAGTTAGCAAACTGTCTGGCCGCGAACACGCTAACACAATCGATATCGAATATAAGGGAATATCAGGGATAACGGGATAAGGAGTGCTCAATGTGAATGAATAACTCATTCGCTTCCGAGGCCGTTGTAGAGTCCATCTGAGCCTCGGAACGCAGAGAGAGGAGTCTGGAGTCTATAATGTGCAAACTTGGCACAAGGCGTGCGCGGCGCAAACTTGCCAAGTGCCAACATTCGGTTCCTGCGAAGTAAATCCAGCAACCAGAAGTAAATTAAGATTTAGTGAAGCTTGCATTGATCGAATCATTTGCACATGGAAGCATATTTTTAAGAAAAATTCTAAAATTATGCATAATCACGTTTTTACACTTAATTTTATCACAAGAAATAAAATAATCCATTAGATAACACAAATGGATCCTATTAAAAGACAAAGCAAGAACTATCCGGATTGTAAATACCGAATACTATTAACTCAATGGGGCGCTTCTTGGCTGATACAATTCAGAATTGTAAAATTTTCACTAGGGTCGTAAACCAATACGCCGAATAACCACATTGTTATCCATTGTTCGCTTACTTCACTTGTCAGGTCATAATCGTAAAGGGGCCCGGCCCTTAAAGGCCCGCCAGGTAGAGAATTTAAAACCTTCCGTAGAGGACAACCTCAAAACTTCAAATACGGGTAATATGGGTAATTCATGATTCATGATTCGAAAACTAGCGGCATCGAAGAAAGGCATAACAAGACGTCGGATAATTGAGCCCCGGCGATTTTGTCGACGTGAATTCTCGGCCAGCTAACGCTGGAACTCTAGGAGGCTATTGTTTCGCTGGTCGATTCAGTCGATTCTCTAATATGAGCTTGCATTTCAAACGCACGAAGCATTCGGACGATGCGGACGATTCGTATTCTTGTTACGGCATTAGGCAAGATCGTCTCGGGATAATTAGGGGTTCCGACCTCTTTTATTGTTGCTATTATACATTAATGACGCTTATAAAATTGGATTCAGATAGTCCTACTACACCAAACTGCTATAATTTAGATAGTTATCAATTTTATATAAGAGAGGCGATATTGTAAAAACTCTACTTTACCTGATAGTGTTTGGTCGGTTGACATGGCAACACGTAAATAACTTGGTAAGTTATAGCTGTGCTGGTGTTGCTATAAATGAACCAAAGATAAGAATTTTTCATTTTCATGAAACTTTGTATTTTGCATTGGTATAGAATGGAGGTCTCCACGTGTACAGCAAACAACTGACCTTCGGTGTTATGATGTAATCTCATTGCAACTTTTACAAACTTCTTCATCATAATGTGTCTTATTGTTTCGATTGTAATTTGTCATGCTGTTCTTTAATTCCTTCAATAATAATTTAAGCCGAAACAGCGCACAATATGTAATTATTTCGTGATCTATTTCTCCATTGTTCGGCATTCGTCGCCCCGCGGTGGAAAACAATAAAATTGCTTATTTATTCAGCTTGTTTATGAATGTGTCGTAGGTATACGCCGCGACCATTGTTATCGCTCCTTCATTCCACCGCTCCATTCTTAGCATTCTTCGAAAATGTAGAGCCATGGTGTGTTTTTTCGTTTCCTATTAGACAATTTTCAATTCTTTGGGATTTTTGTTCGGCATTCTGCGCCGCGTCGTCTAAATGTGTTTTATTGTTGTTAATATTAGACCGAAGGATGAAAGGCGTTCGTTATTGTTGTTTGCAGAAAAATGAAAGAATGGAAAATGATACATCTATAAATCAGCGTGTAGTTATGTAACGCGTGTGCGCGTTTTAATCATTTACAAAGAAACCATGCAAACAAAAAGGCGCAAAATGACGACAATGGCAAAGCAAATGAATAAAGAATGCTCAATGGAATGGAATCCAACGAGAGACAACGAGAGTCAACGACAACACAACACAACAAAAACGTTGATTCCCGGTAAGAATAGCAACTGGAGAAAAAGTTGTGCGTTTGTTATTTTCAGAAGAAATTTAAAATTTCAACCGAGCATAACAAAACGCACAACCTTGACTTTGATTAGTCACTCAGTCACACTTGAGGCAATCATAAAAATACTCAAAACGATTCAGCGATTTGCATCTGTCGTGCGCGTGTAACAAAGTTGTCATTATTCAGCGACAAGCGACAAGTGGAGACTTCGCTGCGCACGGAAAGTTATAAATAATGACACTTGCAGACACGCGCAGACGATGGGGTCCACGTGAGTCGGCGGAGAGCGGGCCTGGCACTCGACACGAGGGACGCGGAAAGCGGACGCAAACAACGAGTGGATAATTAAAGCCCTCCATCATTCACCGTGCGCACATTCTACTTCGCAGACTTCGAGAGCACCGAGAGCACTTTATCTATATCTATCAATGCTGGTCGGCCGCCGGTCGCATGTTGGTGGTGGTGGTTGCGAGCAGTCGAGTTCCGTTGTGTAATCAGTCGAACGAGCCGCGCAGACGACGAGGCGGGAGGGCCGCAACTATGTAATTACGGTTTTCTGTTCGTGGCGCATGGGCACACGAAGCAGTTACATTTGTAGTCGGTGCTCATAGTAATGCGTCGGCTTATGGCAGTCGAGGAAATTAGGGAGTTATAACGATTGTCCAAATTTACTATATTTCACTACCACTACCACTGACGCAACACGTCTGCACCCTTCTAAATCTCACTCAATAACACAACAGCAGCATTTTCAACAAACGCAAATTCAAATCAAAAAGAAAGAAAAAATAAATATTTAAAATTCTTCCTTCGTGTAGCGTAAAAAATTCTCTTTGAGCAAAATATATACTGATGTATAAAGCTCCCGCCCTCGTCGAAAATCACATACAAGAATTAATAAAAATAACAAGAGTCGACGTTGCATGACGTTGAAGAATGTATCCGATAATCACATAAACGCAAAGCAAACAGCGCGGATCGTCTAACTGCGCTCTCCATCTCCAGGACAACGAATTGACTCGCATTCGAGGGGAGTTGAAACTTTTTAAATTGCTAAATACGCGTGGATGCGTCCCAACTAAACTAACGGTCAATTTTTGAAAGTACCTACTTTTGGCAGTTTGTGCCGAAAAAAATAACACGGGGACGGTTTTTATAGAGGGGTTAAAAATGTAATTTCGATAGTAATCTCGCTTCTTTCCGGACATCACGTAACATATTGTATTTTGTATGCAATTTGCTGAAATTCAATTGTGTTTGCGCAGTTCCCAGAATAACTGATACATTTTTCGAGTTTTTCGGAACATTTTAGGGCTTTATTCATCAAAATTCGTTACACTACATATTTCTATAGCTGTAATGCACCCAAATGCACCCTTTTTGATGACATTCGACTTTATTCCCTAGAATTATAGTTTTTTAGATGCATTCACAGAAAAAAACGCGTTCGTTTACTGTCAATGTCTGCAATCATTGTAATTGAAAAAGTTCCATTCTCGTCACTCAATTTCAATTAGATTCTCTACGCGCTATAGAATTCGATACGTTTTTCTGTGTCTAGTAAAAATAATTTCGCGCAGAATTTATAGCAGCATATCTCATGAATATGAATCGGTCATAATTTCGCCCGGCAACTACTGTCACACCGACTGTCACCATTTGTAGGTGAACTTCATTATGCTAGCCAAACAAGATGCGACCTCAATAAAAACATAAAATATCCCCGAGGCTGGCGCATTGCATAAATTTAATAATTCCGAAATAAGTTTAGGGGCGAATTCGATTGTGTGTGTGTGTGTCTGGTGCGCTGGAGGGCAGTTTTCAGCGCGGCTCGTGTCACTCTGCGTTCCTTTTATATGCAAATACATACTGCAAAGTTTTCATATTGACTTTTGCCGCTGTGGGCCCCCGAAGCCTTGAGAGATGCGAGCATAGAAATTCAGCGTGGCCCCATCAGCGAGAGGCAGGCCCCGGCCCCGAGTATAATGCACTATTCTGTCGTTTTTCGACGTTTTGTGTGTGTGATGTGCAGTTATGTGCTCTCGCATGCACCGCACGGCATGACGCGCGCGGACGGACACACGGGAAGATAGCGTTTCGAGGAAATG